TGTGTGTGTGTGTGTGTGTGTGTGTGTGTGTGTGTGTGGGTGGGTGTGTGTGTGTGTGTGTGTGTGTGTGTGTGTGTGTGTGTGTGTGTGTGTGTGTGTGTGTGTGTGTGTGTTTTATTCCTATCTCTACCTTATTCTCTTTTACTTCTACCTTCTCCACGTTCTCTCTTCTTCTTCTTCTTCTTCTTCTTCTTCTTCCTCACTTGCCATCCTCCGTCCGTCCAACTCTCCCTCGTCTTTCCTCTTCTTACTCCCCTCCTACCCCCTCCTACTCCTTATTCCTCCTTCCTTCACCTCCTTATTCCTCCTTCCTTCCCCTCCTACTTCTTATTCCTTCTGCTCCTCCTTCCTCATCCTCCTTCCTTCCCCTCCTTCTTCCTCCCTCCTTCCTATCTTACTTCTTCCTCCCTCCTTCCCCTCCTACTTCTTATTCCTTCTGCTCCTCCTTCCTCATCCTCCTTCCTTCCTTCCTCCTTCCTTCCTTCCCTCAACACTCTACTCCATCAAACTTTCTCACTTCACGGAGATTTGAGGTCAACATTATTGACAAACTTTCAACCAGTACCTGACACTATTAAGGGGTGGGGGGAGCTTAAATGTCCCCCTCCCCTCCCCTCACCTACCCTCCCCACCATCTGTGTCCTTGGGGGGGGAGGGGAGGGGAGGGGGATGGGTTTGAAGGGGGGAGGGGGATGATTAGGTCTTGTTTTGAATATGAGTTGAGTGATTTCGTCTCCATGAATGAAATTATCGTTTAGCTACCATGAAGTTAATTAGTGTATGCATATATGTAAGTTAATGATGAAGACACAGGTATAATGTAAGAGAAGAGACAGTTTGGTTAGGTTAGGTTAGGTTAGGTGAGGTTAGGTTAGGTTAGGTTAGGTTAGGTTTGGTTAGGTTAGGTTAGGTGTTGGGTGCGTGGAGTGTGTGGTGGTGGTGCCGCACAACACACTCAACCAGCATCAATATCACTATCGCCTTATCGACTCTCAGCTCCTTCCTCCGATGACCAGCGAATCAATTAAGTTTTCCAATTTACCCGAGAACGAATATAGCGGCGGTGACGAGTCCACTCTCTGTACGGGTGACATTACGGTATTCAGAGCCGAGAATACCCCCCTTACTGCATGTTGTTAGCCCGTAACGTTCATAGGGAGGATAATACTATAGCGAAAAATAGGAATAGTGTCCTTACTGCCTATGGTTATACCCTACCATACATAGAGACCACAATACTACAGGGGAATATAGGATTATCAACCTTAATGCATGGTGTTAGTGGCTGGTGCTCGTAAGGTTGATAATATCATAGAAGAAGGGAGAATTGTCAGCTTTATTGCATGTAGGGCGTCCATAGCGTCGAAAACACATCATCTAACACCTATATTGTTGACTGTCGTGTGAGCTGAGTCCGTACCTGTTATCTGGTCACACCTGTACATCACTTTAAGGGCTATTTGAGGTGGTTCAAAGGTGTGTGTTATGGTCTGTCTGCGTGAGTTTTTGTGTGATAGATAGATAGATAGATAGATAGATAGATAGATAGATAGACAGAAGGTTCATCAGTAAATTCATTGTTCCAGAGGTTCCGTTGCCCGCCAGAGTTGACGTGGGGAGTCCTCACAGGAAGCAAAAGAAACGACGAAGTTCCTCTCTCCACTACAGCCGAAACAGCACTGACAAGATGACCAACTCCTCGCTTCTTTTATACCCTGGACCTTCGGCTACTCATACAGGTAATGTCTGTATGTCTGTCTATGTTTATCTTTGTACTTTTTTCTGTGATTTGTCATTGGAGGATTTTACGTAAGAGAGAAATATTTATACCAAATTTGTTAAGGTAAAGTGGTGGATGTCTTTGAAATGTGAAGTTGGCTAAAATTAATCTTAAGTTTTGTCGTAATATTGGCTAGGAAAACAGAGCGTAGGTAAACGAACCGTAGGCCTGTAAAGATAATATTTCCAATTCAGTTGTGTGTTTTTCCAAAGCGGACGCAGATTACTACTATTAATCATTTACTGTGACGCTCTGGGGGAACTCGTGTACTGTGCCTCGCCTTGGTGTCGTTGGTGTCCTGTAGACGACTGGCGACCCATTTAGCCAGTCTACTATAGAGTATTATGACGAATTATCATATTTCACTACAGGTAAATATGTTTATTACAATACCTGTCAGCTTTCTAAGAACGAGCAGACACTGACACCCCTCGCCTGACAGCCGGCCAGTCCTTTCTAAACCAGCAAATGTTTGTCACGTCTGTTTGACCACCGGAAAACCTACGTTCATTTATCTCTATAGTGAAAGGTAAGAAAGGTGCTTAATAGAAGGATTAAAATTGACCCTTAAATGTCTTGGGGCGGGGGGGGGGGGGTTCTGTGGCTACTTGTCTACGTGTTCCGTTGTCTGCTACTTGAGTCTGCTATCGTTTTGTCGAACTCCGTAACAGTATCTTGATTGTGTCAACCTCATAGTCCAGCCCACTAGGCCTACACGAG